CTGCAGCTTCTTACAGAGATGTATCAGTGACACGGGTATAACATCACATCTGCCTCCTCCCTTCTCCCCGCTCCCTGCAGCTTCGCAGTCACCGATGATCACGTGAGACCTTTCCTAGAAGGCAACACTATAGAGGGCGCCATCGGCAAGAAGAAGCTCTTCTATGTCGACCTGAAGATCCTAGAGGGCGTGCCAACAATACCGGACAAGAAGGTGAGCAACGAGCAAGGCGCCATCGTCGCGCACGTATAGAGGTCGCCACCGTCGCGCCCTACCCCAAGCTTAAACTGCGGCATACAACTCTTCTGTACAATAGTCTGTCTCTATACCCTGCTGCAACGCGCCCCCGCCGCACTAATAATGGATTCTCGAGTTGCGCAACCAGCGCAGGGTACTGGAATGAAGATACGATCATTCTGAAAAGAGTCGAAGATTCATTTGTTTCGTCATTTCTGACTTTAAATAGTCGCTATACATTCACTCTCACGCGTCTCTTGTAGCTTTGCTCGCCTGTAAGACTGCTCAAACAACAAAATAAGTAAATAAGTATCAGTTATAGCACGCCCCGACTGTATCGCCGATACGGCCATCGATGGGGGGTCGTTCCAGCAGCAGCAGGATGAGGTGTGAACGTTTGATGTACGTCCGCTGTGACTACCTTGCAGGTGTGTGCTCCGCTGGCTCTGTTCTACGTGAGAGAGGACGAGGCAATGGTGCCTGTCGCTATCCAGCTTCATCAAGAAAAGGGACCCGGAAATCCGGTTAGTTTACCCTCTTTAGGCGTGCCCCATCCCTGCTCGGCCATGCTGGAACCTTGAAGTACCAGCCGCATCCCATGCGGTTTTCCTTCGTGTTGCTATGACTCCCACGACAAACCGCTACTGCCTCCCTCACGGCTAAGCTATTCTACTCTTGAACCCCCTCTGATGAATCAGCACAACCTTCCACATGGGTTATATGACCGCGAAATATCAGCAAAGGTCTCTATACCATGGCTATGACATAATAAGCCCAGTATAATATACAACAAGTATATTATAGGATATATATATTATACGCGCGTGATAAGAAATGGCGGCATCTTGTGCATGTTTCGTCTGCTGTAGCCACGCCCGTCTCTCGTCTGCAGGTGTTCGTGCCGAGCGACCCCAAGTACACGTGGCTGCTCGCCAAGATGTGGTTTAACAACGCAGACGCCCAGGTGCATCAGTCCAACACACATCTCGGTATGACGTCACACTTGTACAGGCGGGGGTGTTGACAAATATTTCAGCAGTCATTTTATCGTAATTATAATCAGTCATAATGACAAGACCTAATAATACCTAAATACCTAATACCTAATAAATAATAAAGCTAATAGGAGAGCTAATAACAACACTAGTTTGATATTACCTAGGTATTATTAGCTCTTGATAATGATCGTAATCATTATAACCATGAGAATAGATTATAACTGAATATTAGGCCCTAATGATGTAGGCTACATGACGATTTAGCATGTATATTTCTTTCTCCATTTCTGTGTGATTTCAATTTTGTTTTTATTTTGTACTTCGTCCACAGCAGCTTCTTATAGCTTCAATTGCGGGATAAAGACATAATAAAATTGAGATAAAAATTCATTATTTTTAGGGTTTCGTTAATGCCCGTGTCTGTTACAATCTCAAATTTATCCTGTATTAATTATCGTGAGTATTCACTTCAGGCTAGTCGGAGCAAAGTGGAGATTCTTATATCTAGGAAGACCCGCTCTCAGACTCCTGATCTTATTCGCTTGGCTCCGAACGACAACGTTGCCAAACTCGTACAGAACATTAAAAGTATAATGGCGGACAGGGTGTGCAGAGAGAGAGTTATCACCGTGCACAAGGTACTGACGTACGCGCTCAGATGAAATCATCACGGTTGGGGATTATAACCTAGAGCCATGGTTGATTAGAGTTTGTGCAGTGAAAGACGAGATGCATCACATCTCTTTAGGAACGTTTTGGGAAGTAAAAGAGGTTCGAGTGAATGGGTGCGCTAGCTGGGGCGCAGGTGGATACATGATTATTTAGGAAATGAAACCGGTTAAGCCCGGCGCACACGTCAGTAATTTTACTCAAGTAAAATGACGCATGAATGAAAATACTCACGCGTAATATTTTCAGCGTTCGCCGCACACGTGAGTAAAATTACTCAAGGAATAAGTGGTAATGCAGATCACGTGACTGTGCGAGCACAATGATTTAAATGCATGCGCTGTGAGTACCAGTGTTGAGTAAATTTATTCAGCGCGCGCGCACACGTTAAGTAAAATGACGCATGAGTCAAAAATTATCAAACACGTTTGATATCGAGTAAAATAACGCATGCATTAAATTAGTTAACGAAAATCCGCCGCACACGTGAGTAAAATGACTCATGCGTCATTTTACTTGAGTAAAATTACTCACGTGTGCGCTGAGCTTTAAAGTCAATAGTGCTTCAGGTTTTAGGCCGAGAGACGGTTATTTTGGAAGCGGGAGGAGTTGGAGCGACTGCGTGTCATATTACATTGATGGTTTTTTGTGACAGGATGCAAACGAGACGCTAGGCATGAGCGTAGCAGGTGGTGTGGGGGCACAGAGGGGCAATACCCCCATCTACATCTCTAACATCTACCACAAAGGCTGTCTCGGCAGGACGGGACATATACAGGTCCGTATATAGGCTTTTGGAGAGAGCGGGGTCTATATACAATACTAAACAATATTGAAGTATTATCATGGTAACATTTATGGCACTAATAACCATCTGGAAGTTCCTATTCGAGTCTTCATAGCTCAGAAAGGTTTCCAGTTGTATGTGAATATGTAATATGAAATCGAACATGATATGGAGGTCGAGGATGGTAAATTGAGGCCAGAATTTAATTAATTGTTAAACACTAACAGTGGTGACGTTTTCCACAGAAGGGAGACGTGCTGCTCAGTATAAACAGCACAAACCTAGTCGGTCTCACCCATGCCGAAGCTGTCACTGTGCTGAAGGCGTCTGCAGAGTCCAAGGTCATCAGTCTGAAGATCATTGAGGGTTCGGAGACGACCGACGGGATGAAGAACTTTGTGCCCTCGTGGACGTTTTGGCTCTCGCTGCCAAAGTATGTCCTTTGTGTTCCCTTCACTTTTCATTTGCATTTGCGTGAAAATGGATAAAATTTGAGAACCCCAAATCCCGATATTTCCGATTATCGTCCTGGCTATTTGGCTCGTATTCGGCCCAATGCCATCATATAAGTAGCTTATTGCTTCATTAGTATAAGAGATATTGTTACCCTCGGTTCCTATATGCCTTTGTAGCGTGCTACGTTGGATGGTCAGGGGAGAGCTGATCAGTGTGAGAATTTCAGGTCTATATATTTGCAAACATGGCAAATTTATTCCACATGGTGCAGTACAATGACACATGGAAGTGCTAGGGGTCTTCTTCGAAAGAAGACCCCCTTCCCTTTCCTCGTAGCCAGCAGCTATTGCACGGGCCCTCTCCTTGGTTTGGGCACCTTAAATCTAGTCACTGGCCCTCTCGCCGACAGCGTGACTTCCCTGCCTACATATAACCTCACTGACCATATGTGTACGTAATTTATGGGATTGTGGAAATGTGTTCTTTCCTGTGTACAGTGGCACCGTTTATGGGGAAGCTCACTTGCCTAGCAATGGCAGCTATACTGCCTATAGTATACAGTGAATAATTACATATGAATAGCTAATTACTGAAATTCCATCACTGGATCGAGTTAGGGTTATGTTTATGGTTAGGGAAATACTGGACTCCCGTCATCACAGTTGATATTTGTCTTCATGCATATATATATGTATCTATATATTTATATAGGATGTGTCATTTGCCAAGAACGATCACTATCTCAAAGGGTCATCACAGCAGCCTCGGTTTCAGCATCGTAGGTGGAGCAGATAGTTGTCATGGCAACCAGCCAATCTTCGTCAAGGCAGTGGTTCAAGGCACGCAAGCAGCACACGATGGCAGATTAAAGTGAGTCATACCTTTCGTGCATGATTTATTCTTTTGTGTCCTGATTCGAAGAATCTCAGATTTAATTAAATTGGATGAGATTTCATTTGATTGCAGGAAGTACAATGATTCAAATTTTAAATAAATAATAAGATAAAGATAAATTTTACTCAAATCTGAGATCACTACACTACACTACTGTCACCTGTCAGGAATATTATCAAATGTAGAAAATCAATGTTTAGACGACCTTGATAGAATATTGCAAGTATCCTGCATTATTTAACGAGTGTTTCATAGCTTATATTGGTTCTTGTCTGTCACAGGTGTGGGGATCAGCTGCTATCTGTGAACGGGAACAGTCTTCAAAATCTGACCCACTATGAAGCTGTGCAGATTCTTAAAGACGTACGCAACTCTGCGACTCTTGTAGTCATCTCCTGGCCTGGATCCCTTCACTGACAGATAGCTACGTACTAGCTCTCTGTGTCATTTTGTGTGGATGGATATCCCTGCATAAATTACGGCTGGCTATCTTATATATATCTATAAATACACACACACACACACAATTCACGCGTACGCACGCACGAACACACACGCACACGCACACACACATACGCACACGCACACGCACACGCACACACACACACACACAAGACGTGTATGTATGTACGTGCGCACGCACGCATGCACACGTTTCTCTTTACAGATCAATCATTCCTTCCTCCTGCCGATTGTTTTCGAGAGTTATTGCGATTAGAGCTCAGCACTACTACACTGCAGAGTGACTGCTAAATTTCTTCAAAAATCGTTCCCCGACTAGTTACTGATTTTTTCCCTGCGAGAAAGACTGTTGATGCCCATCCGCTCCCCCAAAAAACGCGCTCAACGCCCCCACCCTCCGGTAGCACCCCTGAGCAGCGCCAATGTGGGCAGTATAAAAAGACTGGACTTGCTAGTGTCATTTTTTTCTGCCACCTATGTCCACTGTGTTAAGCTTGATGGGTTCATTCCATAGAATATTGCTGAGCTGAACAAACATGTGGGGCGATACATTATATAAGCACTACATTACACTGCGGCGCAAAATCGTACTCCACAACACAACACGTCGATTAGCGATTGTTCCCCTTTGGTTGTTTCCATAGAAATAATATACTAGTTAGACTCTATGTGTCTCTCTATATTTCTATGGTTGTTTCTCACAATTCCAGTGTCACTGCATGCCCTATTGTGGCGAATATTTCGGTCATATCATCTGTCGTTCCGTATCAGAATGAACTGAAATAGCTACCTTCATCAGTGCTGTCTCCATTCTTACAACATAGCTACAAGGTATATGATGCAGTAAATGTCAGCAAGATTCAATCAGCAGGTGTGTGTGCGTGCGTGCGTGCGTGCGTGCGTGCGTGCGTGCGTGTGCGTCTGTGTGCGTGCGCTCCTTAATTATCTCCGACATGTCGCAGAAGCATTATCGTGTAGCGCCCCTTGGGGTGACGTTATGGAGTCCAGCTGCAGTGTTATATTTATCTCACCCTGTTCTACCTCTCCTCGAAGCACATTCCCCACAAATGTCATCCTGTAGGTTCCGATCATAGGCATCGCAAATGGAAATTCGGACGTTGCAAACGGATATGTAGGATTGCTATTTGTGTCATCCAAACAATATCAAGCGTAATCTAATAGTGGTTACTATAATAAAGCTGCATGTCATAGCCACGCGGATCCGCGTGCAAGTGCGCGCTAGTGAATGAATGTCTGCGCAAGCTCGCCTGTAAATTCTATATATTTAATCTCTCAATTGAAAACTCGAATGTAACCGTAATAATATTAGTGCTATCAAGGAGCTTAATGTTTATCTCGTTCTGTATATTGGGCAATAATACCATGAACGCAAAACCTTGACGTTGCACCTGCGCGACCTTTGTGTTTGACCCCCACCGAATGGCACAGGGCATGTATCTGTTGCTTATGCCTTACACTGAATTGCCTTCCCACACGTCTGTAAAGCGTAAGTCGGTCGACATGTGATCAGCACCGATTCTTAATTAACTTGCACGTAAAAATCATGTGAATACGTGTATGCATAAGTTACATAGCTTCAGCTTGTGCAGGTTCCAAGTCGTTTACTCGTTATGTCGTGTACTACTGTTTACACATTACTTACTTTACTCACTTCTATGTAAGCAATAAGATGTAGTCGTGAATCCACCCAGCTCTTACACGTGTACGAACTAAATCGAGGTGCCCAGCAATGTAGACCAGTGAACTGTTTCCTCTGTTACTTGTTGTTACTATCCGCTTGCCTTCCTTTGATAATAACTAGATATGGAGAGATTCATCCCTGACATTGTGGCGTTCGTGACGAGGATTTCTATATTTTTCTATGGTTGAATTGAATTTGATATGAACACAGATGGGGATATTGAATACGAGCAGATACTTTTACCTAGGAAATTGGTCTGGTTGGATGGAGCGAGCAATATCGCGTGATCACTTTTCTAATTGAGGAAACGTGACTATTCTTCACTAAGAAAGCAAACTTGGGCCGGTACGTGCAAGGAAATTGTAGAATTCATTGTTAGGGCACATTCCGTGCTGTCGTTTCAGCACGTATTCACATTGAAATGACAATGTGTGTGTAAATGCACGTGAATTTTCTTGCATCTGCACATATTGCTCACGAGTATTCACTTGTAACTGTATTTACTATTCCACACCTGAAGCTTTAGCTGTGAAGAGGACAGAGCTTGTGACAGGGTCTATGAGCAAGATCTGTTTTCACGTGCAACCTGGTTATACTGGAAACTAGTCTGATTGTTATGAATGACACTGGTTAACCTAGGATAACTAGATATTGTTATTGTTTATTGCTACTGCATTCTTTTTGAATAAAGAACGGTGATTCTTGTGAATGCAGCAGATTATGTTATGTTTGCATGCTGTTTAGTTTACGTCAGCATCACTGTTCTTAATAATGTATGTGTTTTAATTTACAAAGTATGGAAATCAATGAAATTAATGATTCAGTAATATCACAATCAAATTTATATAAAAATGTACAATGTGTAAATAAAGCTACTGTTTAAGGTACGTTTGTAATAAAATCTGCTGTTTAATGTTTGTGTCTAGCAATTCAGAAGTGTACCATGAGTAACAAATAGATTACTCGTTTCATTTTACATAGTCGAGAATTGGATACACAGGCTCTCCTTGTAGTCTCGATGCTTTAACCATATCACTTTATTCACATGACTGATATTAAACTTTATATGAAGTTTTCCCTATATAAAAAAAACTAGACAAAAGCTCTGACAGGCTGCAGGTTGCAAAGACGATTTACACGGATACCTAGGTGGCAGTTATTGCTGTTTATAACTGGAAGTTTAAGCCATAGTTGTTTTAAGTCGAGCCTACAGAGCAGGGCATACAAACTAGGGGGTTCTAGTACGGGAGTAGTTTTAAGAAGATTTACCTTAAGTTATATAGTACAGAAGGATAAATTCGTGTGATCTAATGAATAACTCATTTTCATACATTTGATAAACATTTTTAGGACTGCATAACATAACAACATGGGTACTTATTGCGTACCAGTATAATAACACATATATAAGCACAGGTTGTCACCGAATCAAGCTCTGACCACAAGTATGGCAGGTAAGCTTACTTATTTTGAGCAGGGTTCATTTAATCAGGAGTGAATAAAAACAAATGTGTTTTTATTCACTGCTGACTTCATCAAGACATGTACATACATGTGGGCGTGTGTGCTGTGAATGTTTACTAGGACATGCTATGTATGCATGAGTTACGCCTGCACACGATACAGTCGCCACAATTCGAGTTCAACTAATTCTTCGTCCCTTGCATTAGAAATAAATTAATGCAGTTACAAAAATACAATGAGATGAAGTGCATAGAGACCGGTGTCATAATACATTATAAATATTCCGAGTTATTACACCAGGAAGTACGGTGTGTTACTTCTCACTCGTTTGATACCTAGTGCAGGGCAACAGTGTTAAATAGATACAGTGACAACCTTCTGGCCTCATTATTACTTGCTCAGTGAGGTGAGTACTTACTGATATAACTAATGACAGTCCATCAATAAATATCAATTTATATTTAGTTGCAACTATTACCTAAAAGACAGTAAATTACCAAAATGCACCTAAATTTCACTAACCGGATGTCAGGACAATCCACTGTCACCACTCTGACTACCGTTGTATAGTTGCCCTAGACTCATCACGCACCATTGAAGGAATCATTGCAAGTACACCTGACTCAAGATGCCCCAAACTCCTTCATCCACTTTTCGTGTTTCTCAAGGTCGTCCTTTGATACCGACTTGGAGACCTTTGTTAATGCCAGTTTAAAGTCGGCCATCGTTGTCGGCATCTCAAGGTCGTTCTTGTCCAGATTTCGTATCTCCTCGGGGGTGAGGCCCTGGATGCGCCGTCTCATGGCCATCATGGATGCATCCCTGCAAGACAACGATAACGACGCTGAGTGGGAGCAACGTGAAACAATTACCTTTTTCACATTAAACATCATACGATATTTGCTAGAAAGATTATACCCTAATCAGGGAGTGTTATATGATTACGTATGTATATATTATTGTTATAGAGATTGTGCTTAGTTCCTGCAGGTATGCATATGCACGCCATTTACATAACTAATGTCTGCTAACATTTCCACTATAACAGCGACTGTCAGCTTTTTTCACTGAAAACGTAAAGGTTATATTTTGTGTCGCTATAGGTGGCAGCACCTGCAAACGTTGGTGATATCGGCACCAGAGTAGCCCTCCAGCTTATCAGCGATGATTGGGAGCTCTACATCAGCACACATCTTCACTTCCCGCAGGTTAATGTTCAGCAGCTGCTCTCTGCCTTCCTCTGCCAAGCAACAGTTCAGAGATTAGCACTCATCTTCTATTGACATCATGTGCAACAACTAACCACAACAGCAGTAGCAAAAATTTAAGTACAGCACATAACACCTCCATCTGTGTGTTGTCCCTTAAGGGGGGCTTGTCGGGCTTCAACTGGAAGCAACTGGATTTCGAGCAACTGGAAGCGATCGGCAGCGACTAGTTGCGTCCAGTTGCCCATCCCTGGAAGTTAATATGCATGAACAGATTTCTACAGGTAACAGTTTCTCAGTGTTTCGAATTTTCGGTGATCAAATAGCTGTAGGATCAGCGGGCCTGTTTTATCAAGAAGCTGTAGGCCCGGCATCGAAACTGTCGGCGGCGGGCCGACGGGCCGACGTGAATTTCGAACACTGGGCGGCGGTCAGCACAGTCACAGTGTCGCTACTACTACTAGTACTGCTGAGAGGGTCTATATGTCCCCCAGGGTACTGCCGGAACGTATCCTGGTACTATCTAATAATAATAATATGCCGGACCGTACCTCGCCTACTCCACTAACGAGTCTAGGGAGTCGCCTACGCCTACTCCTAACCCTAACCATATCAAATAGTGACCAGGGTACGTTCCGGCAGTACCCTGGGAGACATATAGACACAGGCACTTGGACCGTTTCAATAATAAAATGATGGTTAATAAATACAACTTGTCAGTACTACTACAGTACCAGCAATAGTCTTAATGTTTGATTTGACCTAATAACTTCACTTCAACACCGTCCAATACACCGCTGCAACACATAGCCCGCACACCATTGTGCATGCACAGATACACAGTAGGTTAGAGTGTGTATCCTAGAGTGTGTATCCTCTAACCTACTGTGTATCTGTGCATGCACAATGGCGTGCAGGCTATGTGTTGCAGCGGTGTATTGGACGGTGTTGAAGTGAAGTTATTAGGTCAAATCAAACATTAAGACTATTGCTGGTACTGTAGTAGTACTGACAAGTTGTATTTATTAACCATCATTTTATTATTGAAACGGTCCAAGTTCCTGTGCATATAGACCCTTAGCTCTAGTACTATAGCCGCTGGCCAGCGGCAGTTAATGTAAGCAGGCTATAGTACTAGAGCTAAATAGTAATACTAATACTTAATAGACCCTTAACCCGACCAGGCTGTGTGACTAACGTCAATACACCGTATTGACGTAGGTATTCTAACCCTAGCAATACCGTTTCTTGGAGCTAAATAGACCCTATGACTCAGTATGAGCAGTAGTAGTAGCACGTACGTCACTCTGAAATGCCTACCTCTCAGCTGCTAAAATTGCCTCCTGATATTGCTAATTATATACTGAGCATCTAACTAAACTAACTGTCACTGCGTGTAGACTGTTAAAAACACGTA